AAACTAATTAGAACTAAACAGTGAAAGAACGCGCAATTCATGGGTTGAACCCACTACAATTATTCAGAGCGTAATAGACAGTGAGACTACGAAAGAGTAGTCAAAGCAACCAAAGTACACTTATTACATAATAGTGATAAGTTCGTATGTCTAAAACAGAAGGAAATGTCAGAATTGTCGGGATTCCTCGAGTGCCACAAAAAGTACAGCTATCTAGGTCCTAGAGGGGCGAAAAACAAAGTTGAGTGGGTCAGCAAAACAATGCTTATAAGAAAACCTTTATTTTTTAATATACTAACCCCTCGCCGTAAAACAAGTAGAGTTTCTTTAAACATACTACTCAAGTATATAAACGATAATTTGATAATAATAAAGCAGTATATTAATCAGAAATATGTCAAGTAATGATGTATCGAATGTCATAGTAATAATCATGTGATAATCAAGTATAGCTAAGTGCTCATCCATCTAAGCTGACACACAAGTTCGAACAAATGGTTTCTGACATGAACAAGACTGGGTGTAATCAATATGCTTTACGATCACGTGAAGACTGGTACAAAAGCACATCACATACAAGTCGAATTGCCTAGTGCAATCTACCCGAAAGGACTGGCACCTAAACTTGGATCCAAGGTGAGCAAACGGTGCGATGTGAACATACACGTGAAGGACTAGCCTTGGCCTTGGGGCGAGTACTAACACCGGGTGCAACAAGATGAGCATGTACAAATATGTATGAATGCCATGACAGTAATATCACAACCATATAGCAGCATTTATCACAATTTATATCACAATAATGATACTAGACAATATAGGCGTAAAAGTGAAGTAAATACGCATTTATGGAAACTATAAATATATATATAGGTATAAAACAATTGCCCACTCACAAGTACGTGGCTGGGTTGTAGCCCCCGAGCCTAGCTTGGCCTCGAAAATCCTAGGGATAAGTTTCCCCTATATGTGAAATAACTAAAGCACATAACGGAAACCTAAATAAAACCCCTATAGTGTGCTCAAACCTAGGGTTTAAATATATGAAATCGATCTGCTCGACGATACGAACACACATGTGTCAACCACACACCGGCCGGAGGCCAGACGCACCCTCACGCGCTGCCCAAAGTGGCTGCACAAGCTGCCCACGCGCCCCGCGAGTACACTGTACTCGCCTTCCACGTGAAAATCTGTAGTTTTTACAGATTTTTGGCCCAACTTCCAGAGCTCCTAACGAGCTCGATTCTCAACCAAATTCACTTCTACAAAATCCAAATTAAAGCTAGGAATGTGATATACCGATCCCAATTCACAGAAAGTTCAAATATAGTTTGAGTTAATCCAAAATTTGGCCTGAAAGTGGCCAAACGACCACGGTTACAAATTTTCCAGAAACTAAAATTTTCTTCCTAACTTCCAGAGTTGATTTCTAACTCGTTACTTAACCAAACTCAGTGATTCAAAAGCCATTTTGAAGTTAGGAATGTAGAGAACAAGTTTGTACTAGAAGAAGTCCAGTTGTGGTCGAGGTCGACCAGAAAAATGGCTTGAAAGTGACCAAATGGTCACGGTTCTGGAATGTAAAACGCAGGTTCTCCTTCTCGGGTTTTCTGGGTAAAATCACACGTTCAAAACACAAACAAAGGATCAATAACAACCCATAGAAGTGAAATGAAGGTTCTAAAGGTTTCTCAAGGATTACCTAAGCCATAAATGGCTTGAAAATCGATATGTCGAACTCGCCGAGTCGACCTTCCGAGTTGGTAAGTCAAAACTCGTCCACACCAGGTTTCAAGGACGTGGTTGTGATCGTAGGACTGAGATGATCACAATGGTATAATTTATTTTTCACGTTTGAGTGTTTTGGTGTGGTTTTGTGGTTGTTACAGATAGGAAGAAGAAGAAGAAGTGCAGCGTGGAAGAGGGAGAAGAGAGAGAGAGAGAGAGCTGAGAGAGAGAGAGAGAGCTGCTTTTCTGATTGAGGGGACAGAAAATAAAGAAGGGAAGGGATAGGTGAGAGTGAAATAATGAAGAGAGGTGCACAAGATGGGATAAAAAGGAATCCAATGGATAGGTTTTTAGATCTCCTACAGTAAAAGGAAATCGAAATCTATCCGAAGTAGATATTTTTACACTTTAAAATCTACGCCTACCCGTACTAGCGTGTACAATTTAAATGCGATAGCGAGAAATAAAAAGGAAAGCGATAAGAATAAGTCCACGTCACTTGCCAATAAGGGCATAATAGTCAATACACATTCGGGGAGAAATTACATAGGAAAATTAAGGATGGGTCGTCACATATATTGCCACATCATCAATTAATAGACAAATATGATTTTTTTAACGAATGTCTGACATTGCAACGATTTTGTGAGTTGATGTATGATATTGCAATGCTTAAAAGATGAAGTACGAGTTTGTTATGTGATCCAAAGTTAAGATGGTAATATGTGATTTACCCAAACTCTAAATACACCCTAAACGCTCTTCAAACTCTCAAAGCCACTCCCACCAAACATTGTAGAACAAAATGCTAATTAACCAATAAAAGTACAAACAAGTTGATTGCTAATTAACCAATAAGCCAATTTCGGTCCATACCATGACAATTTTCTGAAGCTTGTAATCTATGCTTTTGACAAAGAATTTTACTAGTACTATCGGTTGCTCATCATGATATGAGGTTGAGGATTTGATGTTCAACTTCTGGTGCAATGGTAAGAGCAACTGCACGTGAAAATTAGTGGTCGGTCGAAAAGCATTACTCACTCGAAGATGTCCCCAATTGTTAGTCTTTATTGAAATCAACTTTGTAAATTGTAATAGTGATGTATTTAGGATGAAGCTAAGCCAGCTAAGGTAAAATGGGTGAGATTGTAGTCTCTATTAACAATATGCAAAAGAAAGAGAGGAGCAATTACTTCATCATTTCATTTCATTGCCAAGTCAGTCTTTGCCATTGACTGACTCTGTAAAACATCGTTCACTAACTTTCCTCCAGGATATTTAATAAAGTGCACGATCAACCGCACAGCCAAAACTTCAAAAAGTGATACCACTACTACACGAGCTAATCCGAAATGGAAGATGAAAAGGGGGTGAGCTACAAAGCTAACAAACTATATATGGTTTGTAATAGAGCGAGAAACCAGAAATATGTCGTGTATTCAAAAGTTTATATAAATACATCAATCACAAAATGGCAATAAACATTAACAAAAGTGATAATACAATTTCAATAAACATTAGCAATACAATAGCGTCAATTCTCCTCATTAGAAATTCCAGTAAGGCCTTATTCCCATGATAATTGCATGAGTCTTATTACCAGCTGGCGATAGGTCCCGACTCCTTCACAAAGAAAGCACAAACACTATGATTCAACGAACTAAATCAATCACATATTCAGATGTTATTTGACGTTCGACTACTGAAACACTTTAAACAACGAAACGAAAGGAGACAATTGACAACTGAATTAAGGCTCCATATCAAACGAGTTGATTCGACCTACATACCCACTAAGCGAGCAAAATCGATTGAATCATGCATTCTGCAACATTCATACATTCACCTCAACACATTCATCATTCATCCATATTCATCAGATTTCCAAGGAATGTAGAGACAAGCACAGGCAGAGTTCAGAGATACTTACATTGGGGATGCTGAGAGGACCTCTATGCTAATGGAAACCTTCACTCACACTCTCACATTTTCATTCAAAATATAATTATATACAAGTTTGGGGTGATCCAAGTAGAGCACAGAGGAGACAGGTACTTAAGCTAAGTTCTGATCCAGACATTCATTACAGATGCATTCATAATACGGCCAACATGCATACATAGAAGAACAAGCACACAAGCATATTGAGGCAAATTAATCAGATTTATGGATGCATGACACAAAAGTCACACATCTCACAAAAATCATATCACAAAAGTCATATTCACACAGATGCAACGCAGACTTTCATACATCCAAGGACCACATTCAACAGATCCATGTCGAAAACTGATGTCACTTCCGTTTATTATGCTCCTCTTCTCAGCAACCTATAATGGGATCTGTACCACAAAAGCACACACATACATGCAGCTTCCTTTAGACCTCAACTTTCAGCCACAATATTATAGATAAGGTCTAAGGCTAGTTGAAGGAAGTAATTTTACATTTCAGGGAGATCGAATCCGGTTGAGATGACTACAAACACACTGAGATTCAAGACGGATGCATTTCTTTGACGAACAATTCGAGTTTTGGGTCCGAGTTTGGACTGAGTTTCAAGAAGATATGGTGTGTTTATGAATTGTATTCCGTGGTTTTAACACAGATGTAGTTACACAAGAAATCGCAATCACAGACCCGATATTTCAAATATAACAAGAACTTGCCCTACATAAAATTTAACAGATTGACAAACTCTAACATGTAAACCTTAACTAAATCGCATTATACAACCTGCAAAAACTCAACTTAGATTCTGAAATTCAACACCTTTCAATAAACCTAGATTCCATAAATAAATAAAACCCTAAACTCTAATCTCAATTTGACCCTAAAAATCAAATCAAGCTCAGTAGTATCACAATCTGCAAAACAACCGAAGATTCGAAGTTTACCAGACAAGAGGAGCAGATGAGGACGAGCAGGACGTAGAGATGAGGGTGAGGAGGACGAGGATGAGGGAGCAGGGCAAGGAGGGAGCTCTGTGCAACAACTCTCTCTCGCAAGATGAGCGAGGTTCTCTCTCGCACAAGGGCTTACGAGTCCGGCCGAATTTGGGGTTCTTGGCTAAGAACTCCAAGCGAAGTGTATAATTTGAGTGAGTCCTATCTAATCACATTAAACCTAATCCTTGTGCAGACCAAACATGAGACTACACCAACAATTAGTCTAGTTTAGTCCAGTCCCACCTAAGAAGGCCAAACAAACACCCTAAATGGTTTAGTATAGTGCTTCTTTGCCTAGTTATGAAAAACTAATCCCGCTTAGCAAGTTGTGGTAACAGTAGATTATAATAATCATTGCAGAAGTTTAGTAAGTACAAGTTAACGAATGTGATGCCGAATATTACGAAGCCATCACAAATTCACTGAAGTCTCATAATCTCAACAAATGAAAGTTGTGCCAAACCGCATTAAACTATTTCTCTATAGAAACAAAAGAAGAAGAAAAAATTGAAGGCTCAAAACCAGTTCTAGAGCTAGCTAGCATTTACAACAGGATACAAGACATTCGTCACAAACAAGCATATCGACACAAGGACACGAGCAATAGAAATCCCTACGATTTATCCTCCGCAACATAAACTCCTGAATAATTTCTTCCCACTCAACTTGATTGTATAAAATATTCCAGCATCCACCCTAAAATCCTCTCTTCACAGCAACAATCCCGTGTCTCTAGCACCTAATCTCGTAAGAACCAGCTTTCGTGATATAGCGAACCCACTCAACAGTGTTGTATCCACTCTTTTCCCATACCTGCAGAATATCAATGAGTAAATGCTACATTTTTTAAACAAGGCATACCAGTGTTGACAGGGCAAGATATTACCTTCAGAAAACGGACACGTAAACCAGACGCTGTAAACATCGGAACCTGTATACGTAATAACCCCAAATTAGTCACCTTCTTTAAACAGGTGGACAAAGAGAAGAAAACAATATCGAGTGCAATCAAATCTACTCATACAGGAAATCAGTCTGTAACTACCTATGGAGGCGCTTAATAATTGATTCAAATAATGTCCTTGTGAGATAATTGATGATTAATCATTAGAAATGTACTTCAGATGGATATTAACTTCAAAAATACATGTTAAGGTATAAGTTCTGTGAAACATCGTCTGCTGATTATTTGGGGTTCGGCAACAGTTTATTTATTTTTCTTTTTTGTTCTTCCCTAATGATGCACCACCTACTGATGTGGAGATGAGCTGCTGAGATCAACAAACAAATGAAACGTGTACCCAATTGTCATAAGACTCCTGGAATTAGTAATGATGATTAGTAAGTCACCTGGAACTCCATTTGGATTGGTGGCCTTGTCCAAGATTTCTTTTCTGTCATCGTGGAAATCAGCTCAACTTCTGCACTCAAAGTTGGCTCTGTTTGTCCTGGAAATTTCCTTATCCTACAAAGTGCAAGAAAGTCAATACAATAAAGTGAAAGAAACAACTACAATCCGCAACATGCACAGACACATTTCACGCAGCCTCCTATAAGTTCCATTTATGCCTGAAAGATATACACATTTTGGGCTCGTTTGCTGTATAGAATGGGCTCGGCTTGGACAATCCACTAGATTCAATGAATGTTGAATAGAAATATGGATGTCAACTTGCATATTTTGTCAACTGAAGGTAGAAGATGGACAAGTCATGAAGAACACTTGTCCCTTTCAATCCTCTCATTTTTGTAGGGGGATTAGGAGGGATAAGTTTTCTTCATAATTTTTCCATCTTCTACCTTTTTCTTCCAACATTCATTGAATTTACTTAGTTGTCCAAGCCAATCCTAAACATCAACCGAGGCCTTTCCCAAATCCAATTCTAATCCCATCTTTCTACCACCTAAGACCGTGCCCAATGGCTACTACATAAAATCATATTTCAGAATTATTTTGACAAAATGTTAACGCCAATCTTAACTTCAATATAGCCCAAAGGATTAGAATTCAACAAAAAAACATATAAAGCACTCACTTCCAGACCAAGCAATCAATAGCCGCATTGTATTTTGCTCGACCAGACGTCACTTGAAAACTTGTTTTTGCTGTTTGTTTTGGCACAGGAATTTTGATGACAACCCCAAGAGCAAACATTTTTGCACCGAAAACGCTCTTGACCTGAAGAGCATGAGCATATATAACTATATAAGCTATCTTCCAAGCAAAGAACTTCTAAAAATAACAGCTTTTATCATGCGAAGTAGCAAACCTTAACATTTACTTCAATACGAGTTCTGCCGAGTTCCTTAATTGTAGGCAATACTCGGAATGGAAGATTAACACCCTCAGTAATACGATACCTAAGGCACATAAACCCAACCACAGAAGCAGGCCTCATAAATACAATTAAATTTATCAGATAACACTGCTAAGTAACTATGACAATTTCTCTGTATCAAAAGAATTCAACCTATGATAAAGAATTACAAGAGTTCTATCTGTATGTCGTAGTTTAATACTAGCAATTTTGCACGCATTACACATGTACAAGATTGGTTACTGCAGATATGGTAGTGGTGAAGAGTTCAAAAGGTTGAGTAGAACACTAACAGCTGTTTAGGACTTATTGTTGGTTGATAACTTCATCAACCAACAAAGTTCTTGTGTCAAAAGATGAAAAAATGGAGTGGAGTCATGAATCATAAAACCAACTGGTCCACCAACAGCATAGAAGATATAATCAGAACATCATATAATACGAGATTTGCATATTGAAACTCTTTGAAATCACGGACAAGGTTAAATGGCAAGCCTCATTATAAAAACAAGTTTTCCCACGTTGTGGCATCCTACTAAATCCTAATGAAACAAAAAAATGAGCAAGGACAAAACATTACCATGAAGTGAGCAGACCTGAGATAAATTCAAACCAATAAATTAAGACATTAATGGAAGTATGAGCTTACTTCATCAATTCAAATTCACCATCAGGTGGCACAAAACTAACTGTCTTCTCTGAGTTAAACCTCGTCAAGTTTACACATTGATGGAAAGTAACATCGTCGAGCTCGATAGTTTTCCCACTGCAAAATACTCAAGTCAAAATAGAAACTAAAAAGGAATTACATTTTTGTGCGGTTAGAAACTATAATCATCTTGACAAAGGCCAATATGCAAGGCTCAAAATACAAAACATATAAACTTTTTTGTACTCACCTGTAAAGGAAAATAAAATGACAACGAAAAGTAAATTCAAAGTTTAAGAACTAAATAAAAATGCATAAATATTTGGTCAAAATAAGAGTTGTAGATCTCAGTCTAATAAAGATTAGACAGTAATAAGATGGGAAGAAACTAAGGAAAGAAAAAGGAAAACAGATAAAAGAGTAATACATCTGAACCACAGCGTATATGTACATGGTACACAGCAGAAAACGCATTCCATATCCATTGAGAACAAAGAAACAAATATGCCTACGGCACCACTAAAATGTATGCTGCGGCTCAAATTAAGGATAGCAATTTACTAGAAAAGCAATTTCTTAGTGAGGCCCTTAAATGATCTCTCTTACCAATAGAATAGTTTAGAATTATTTGTAGAGTGGCCACAAATTAAAGAAGAGAGCAGCAAGCTTCTCTGTATTGGGGTTCTCTACTGAAAACTGTGATGCGCTGTACTTGTTCTCTTCTATTATTATATATTTAATATTTGGTTTTTTGTGTTTCCTTCCCATATTAGGCTAGGGAGTTGAGTGAAAAAATTTCCCTACGGCAAAAGCATGTAACAACATATTCCCATGTGGAAACTAATAAATGAGCCATATTTTTCAAATGGATAAGTAACTAGTTAAAACCTAAGCCATATCTAAGGAAACAGATTTGAAAACAAATATTATGCTAAGAAAGTTCATAACTGAAGTTAAATACAATCGAAATACCAGAACAGCATAGTGAGTAATTAAAACACATACCTTTTTGTGGGACGGGATTTAAGCTGTGATTCTTTCTCAAGGCCAATTTTATCATTCAATCCCAATTTCAAATCAGGCATCCCAGAGAGGAAGCATTTCATTAGAATCTTCCCGGTTACATCACAACGTAGAACACTACCTATAGCCTCCCAAATCAGTTATGAGTGACGAAACAGACATTGTGCAAAACACATTCAAAAACACCTGCCTACCTTTGGAAGACATAAGAAGATTTACACTTTCCACAATATCCAAGAAGACCTGCACTGATGAAATGTTAATAATCTAGTAGAATGTTTAATAATGAATATGTAAAAAAAAATTCAGAGAAATCTAAATCACCTCATTCTTTTTATAAGCAAGGCCCTCTCTGCGCCAACCAACAGCACCTGTAACTTGTAGTGTTGCATTAGGGACAGGTTTATCTGCAGGCTGTTGTTTTTGGCACACAGTTGAAAAGAAAAATTATCAGAAACTAATATCATGATATCCGCATGAAGAACCAAAATGTTCTGTATGTTTTTAGCAAGAAAGAAGTCATCGAAGTCTTCGTACATAATGGCCCTACCATATCTTGAAACATTACAAGCATCTTACCTTAGAAGAGAATGGAGAGCGCACTCCTTCCTGAGTGATGTAAAGCTTTAAAATTTCTGGAGAAAGATTCTGTGGGTAACCAAAATCCATAATTTCTGCAATTTAAAGGGTGGGTTTTGACTATTTAGACATGATGAATTGTACAGATAAATATAACTACAAACAACCAAAAAGATAAACATTTAGATAAACAACTGACATAACAAAAACATTCAAATGTTTGCACATCATAATCAACAATGTGATGAATGCATGCATTGATTCTGACATGGGCAATACCAGATCATATTCACAAAACAATTTTACATTATTACATGCCATATTAGAAAGCCCACACATGGCATTGTGCACAACAAAGTTTCAACTAGCAAACCTAGTCATGCTATAAGAGGATAGTGTGTATAGTTGAATAGTTTTGTAGTTCCACCATAGACTTCTCAAATATGCATCTTCCCCATTTTATTAGGTGAATTCTAAAGTGTGAGACATATGCAGGATAATGGTTTTTGTATAAATATACAATAGCTTCTGTACATGAATGCAAACAGTAGAGGTGAATTGTTCAATTACGTACCGTCTAATAGCTCATAAATCAGAACAAAATTATTACGAATTGCATCTTCATCAAAAGCCCCACCAAAATAAGATTTGAACAGTGCAACAGCCTGCACAAAAAATAGACCAGAATCATCTACCACAATTTTGAGACTATTTTTTCAAAGGTCCGTATCACAATGAGTCAAACACATTATGCAGCCGTGTTCCCCAACCTATAAACCTGTCTATGGTGAGTTAAAAATCTTTATGGGCAAATTATCACTATCACTACAAGACCAGTATGTGAGAACGTGAAGGTAAAAGAGTCCCACATCGGTGAATGGAGAAACCTTGCAAGGGCTTATAAGAGGTTTGGCTACTCCCCATATTGCCAATTGGTTTTATGATGGAACCTCAACTTTCTTCATGGTATCAAAGCAGGTTGGCCCACGTGTGAAGCTCAACGGCCACACGTGCTCCACATCACCCAATTCGTGTTGTCCACGTGTTTGGCTTGAAAATTTGCCACACATGAGGGGGGGTGTGTGAGAATGTGAAGGTAAAGAGTTCCACATTGGTGAATGGAGAAACCTTGCAAGGGCTTATAAGAGGTTGGGCTACTCCCTATATTGCCAATTGGTTTTATGGTGGAACCTCACACTGTATAGTTACCACATTAATGAAATTTTTTAGCATAAAAAGAAATTAATATAAAGGAGGCCATTGACATAAAAACTCTTGAGAATGCACTATCCCACATCTAAACTCATGCAGCTAACTTCAGCACTAATCCCCCCGCTGTAAAGAAGAAAGAAGACAGTTGGTTCATCCTATTTACAAGAAATTTTGTTCTCAAACTAATTCCAAATTACACAAAGAACAAATCAGTACTTTTGTAGGTTTCAATTGAATATAAGTTGTGAGTAGCACAAATTTTCCTCGTTCCCATAACAGAGAAATGAGTTATTGTTCTTTGTCATAAAAGCAAGTCTAGTCATCTATATAACATTGGAATTCTTAGCGGTTTGCAAAAATATCTTAATTAAGGGTAAAGATGTTGGTGTAAAAGTTTGGCTTGACATAAGCCAAGATGGATGTCAATTGTGAAGAGAGTCCCACATTGGAGAAGTACAACAATAATCTATGGTTTAAATATAGGTGTTCCCCTTCTAATTGCACCAAGGCTTTTTGAGATAAAACCCCACACTTGAGGTCCACTGGGCTTGATACCACCCAGGGGATTGGACCTAGGTGGTTAAGTGGGGACAATATCGGTGCATGGCAGCCTTAGTAGTGGACATTTATGGAGCCCATGACACAATAAAAGATTCTTTCAATAAGAAAAACCTTGCATTACCTATTATACAAAGAACATAAATTACAATACAGAAGAAGCAGACTGGATGCACTCCACACAAACATCAGGAAAAAAAAGACTTGTAAAAAAATCCCTTTTAACTGCTTTTGTCCTGTCAAAGTTTTTGGAGTAAAACTTAGAAGTCAAAATACGCTGCAAGCTCCTTACACTTGTTTAGCAAGCAGATCAACAAGGCAAATCCTTACATCAGTGCATCAAATATAAAAGTTTTGATTTCTAATTCAAAGGAAAATGAGGTAGGATAACCAAACAAGATTAGGAATTATTTATCCTTCTCAATAGGATTGTTGTTGATAAAGATTGGAGAATGTGTTGTGATAGTCGAGCAATTAACAGGATTACCATCAAGTACAAATTTTCAATGCCTCGGTTAGAAGACATACTTGATGTTTCGTGTGGTTATATAATTTTCTCGAAACTTGATTTGCCATGTGGATATCATCAAATTCGAATTAAACTTGGAGATGAGTGGAAAACAATGTTCAAGAGTAAACATGGACTATAGGAATGGTTGGTGATGCCGTTTGGTTTATCGAACGCAACACACTTGATGAATCAAGTTTTGCACCCTTTCATTGGTAAGTTCATCGTTTATTGTGATGATATTTTGATTTATAGTAAGACAGAAGGCGAAAATTTAGATCATTTGAGACAAGTATTGACTGTGTTACAAGAAACTAAGTTGTTTATCAACTTGAAGAAGTGTACTTTTGTCACAAACAAGCTACTCTTCATGAGATATGTCGGGAGTTCTGAGGGAATTCATGTAGATGGGAATTAGGTGAAAGCCATTAAAAGAGAGTGGCCAGCTCCAAAGTCAGTGGGGGATGTGAGAAGTTTTCATGGATTAGCTACTACTTTCTACCGCAGATTTGTTAGAAATTTCAGTAGTATTGTCGCTCCTATTACTTAATGCTTGAAGAAAGGCAAGTTTCATAGGGGTGATGAACAAGAGAAAAAGCTTTGCTTTGATTAAAGAAAAGTTATGCACAGCTCCTGTTTTGGCATTGCCCAATTTTAGCAAGGTGTTTGAAGATGAATGTGACGCAAGTGGGGTTGGAATTGGTGCTGTTTTGTCTCAAGAAAAAAGGCCGATAGCGTTCTTTAGTGAAAAGCTTAGTGAAGCCAGGCAAAAGTGGAGCACTTGTGACCAAGAGTTCTATGCAGTTGTGCGAGCATTGAAACAATGGGAACATTAGCTTATGCAAAAGGAATTTGTTCTTTAAACTGATCACCAAGGTTTAAAGTTTACTAATGGCCAGAAAAGTGTGGACAAGAGGCATATCCGGTGGGTTACTTATCTGCAGAAATTCCCGTTCGTGATCAAGCATAAATATGGAGTAACAAATATTGTTGCCAATGCTTTGAGTAGGCGTGCTCATTTGTTGGTGACTTTAGCTCAAAAAATTGTAGGATTTGAGTTTTTGAAAGAGCTTTATGAAGAAGATGAAGGCTTCAAAGATTTATTCATCAATGAAGGTTATTTATTGCGGGAAATAAGCTTTGTTTTCCCCAAACTTCTTTAAGGGGAAAGCTAATTCGCAATCTGCATGGTGGTGGTTGTCGGGTCAAGACAATTGCAAGTATAGATGGCCTCAATTAAAACGAGACGTGGGAAAAATTGTTAAGAAGTATTATGCATGTCAAGTATCTAAAGGGCAGTCACAACATATAGATGGCCTCAATTTAAACGAGACGTGGGAAAAATTGTTTAGAAGTATTATGCACGTCAAGTATCTAAAGGGCAGTCACAACATACTGGACTTTATATGCCTTTGCCTGTTCCAAATGGTATTTGGGAAGATATTTCCATGGACTTTGTTTTGGGGCTACCTCGTACACAACGAGTAGATTCTGTATTCGTGGCGGTGGTTGATAGATGTTTAAAGATGACACATTTCATTCCTTTTAGGAAGACATCCGATGCATCAAACATAGCAAGATTGTTCTTTCAAGATTGTTTAGTCACTTTTGGATAACTTTGTGGAAGATGTTTGGTACTAATTTGAATGGAAGTAGCACTGCCCATCCTCAAATTGATGGCCAAACAGAGGTCACTAATTGTACGCTGGGAAACATAATTTGAAGTCTTTGTGGAGATAAACCAAAGCAATGGAATTTTCCCTTGCCACAAGTAGATTTTGCTTACAATAGTGCTGAGCATAGAGCTATCAGTAAGTCGCCATTTTCTGTGGTTTATGTTTCAGTACCTAAGAATGTTGTTTAGTGAAGCTTCCGAAAGGGCATGGATTTAGTGTGGCCACTGAAACATCGGCAAAAGAAGTGAAAGAAATTCAAGGGGATGTTAAAAAGAATTTAGAGGAGACAAATGCGGAGTACAAAGCCAAAGCAGATTTACGAGGGTGAGCTGTAGTGTTTGCTGAAGGGGATTATGTGATAATTTTTCTCAGGAGTACGGACCTTATAAGAGACTCAAGAAGATTAATGACAATGCCTATGTTATTGATTTTCCAGAGTTGATGGGAATTTCAAAGACTTTCAACGTAGCTAATATCCATGAGTACCATGCTGACGAAGAGCCATTGTATCCCGAAGAAAACTCGAGGACAAGTTTCTTTCCAAGTGAAGGGGACTGATGTAGGACAACCAAAGAAGATTAGGAATTATTTATCCTTTCAGCAATAGGATTTAAATCAATTTTCCTTTTCCTATTTGGTTTTCTTTGTATCTTTGTTTTTTTTTTTTTTTTTTTTTTTTTTTAACACATTTTAGGATCTCCTTTTCCAAGTAGAATTTCAATTTCCTTGTTATGCAGCAATTAGCCTTTGTTTTACTTTTACCTAGAAGAATTAGCAATTGATGGCTAAATAAAGCCTAGTTCTCTGCTGTAACTTTGAGATTTCAAGTTTTATCAATTAAACCCTTGAATTTCATTCAATCTGGTGGATTCTAAAGATTGTGTTCTAGATGTGTTTTAAGTTTTAGACGCTTGTCTAGGACTTTTCTGACTATTCCGCTGCGTTAGAAAATGAAATCTACATAGACTTTAAATGATAAGATCTTATTACCTCAACAACAAACTTGAATGCACAGGCTATATTGGCATTGCTGCTGACTACAATTACAATGTAAACATTGCTGATTCTCATGTAACAGAAAGAGCATCCACCAATCTGCCGCACAGGACATGTTCCAAGTTCTTTTGTTTGCATAATATGCATGCGGAAAGCATCCACCATATTTCCTCTAAAGAAAGAAATGATTAGAGTAATTAGCAAACCATACAAGGTCAACTCTTAATTAACTTTTACTCACATAAAAATGCAGCCAACAACAGAGAGCACCAGCATAGATGGTCCAAACACATGCATAGAGAAGTAAGGAGCTGACAATTAAACTTTTCAACTCATGACAAGATGGCCTAACAAGTAGCATTCCCAGCCAGATAATATATTTCTTCCACTGCCCTATAGCATATTTAAGTGAGCTTGGAACCTAGCCTAAACCCTCTCTGCCTTCTCAAAGGCCAACAAATTCAGAAGATACCTCTCTGCATATCATCACGCAGAAAGAATACATATAAATTAGAAAATTTGGGAGCCTGCCTGCATACACCTAGTTCAGGATGTAATGAGTGTATTGCAGTACAAAGTAGGTCTTAGGTTCATTTTGTAAGAAAAAAACTGAAGAACTAGATAATATTTAACCAAACCCTGAAAAAAAAAGTAAAATTAAATCTTTTCCATTGCTTATGGTTTAATTTTCATTATGTATAAATCTGCCTAAATCCATAAAACCATCAATCTTAATGAGTGCCTAGCAAGCCACATCCCCCATCCATAACGAACCTTTTACACCAGAAGCAGTAGACAAGCTTAAGCCAACAAAATCCCCGCTCTGAATCCTCTTTAACACATTTTGGACCCCACTGTGGGTTTGAGCTTGATGCCTCCCAGCCATATGGTTAGCGACTGAGGAGGGACTCGCATCTAATTAGCTAGTTGTGTTAGGAATTGGCTCATCAAAGTTAGTGTCCTATTTTGTTTAGGATTGTATTATGAAAGAATTAAGTTTCTTTGTACAAGTAGATTGGGAATCCTAGAGGCATAATTGGAAAAGGAAAGAAAGTGTACTTTCCTATTTAATATAGAATAGGAAGAAAGTTTACTTCCCTATTCCATATAAAATAGGAAATAAAGTACTTTCCTATTTCCATATAGAATTGGAAACTTAATCAGAGGATAGCCATGTAAACCACACTCTAAACTTATAAATAGGTGAGGCAAGGCTAGAAAAAAGAGAGAACAGCCAAAGAGAGCCGAGAGAGAGAAAATGGATTAGTTATTGGGTTTTTCAAAAGTATTGTATACTCTATCCTTAATCAAAGAAGCCGTGGTTTTTCTGCCCAGAAAAATCACAACTGGACGTGGGCAAAAGTTTTGCCGAACAAGTATAATCTTGTGTGTTTCTAGTTTAGTCTATTGCCGTATAAATTAAAGAGCAAGATCCAGAGGAGAGTCAGAATTATAACAAGTTGGTGAGGCAATAGCTTACCAAGGAGATGATCAGTAGGTGGTGTGAAAGATGATCAGCCACGCTGGGACTGAGACACGGGCCCAGACTCCTAGGGAGGCTTCATCTAATCATATGTCACTTAAACCAAGAGAAACCCACAGGCTACCAATTAATTGGACAAATATTGACAACCGCAGCATCTAAGCCAACCAGTGTACGAAGAATGATAAAACAGAACCATGTACAATTTACCACTTCTGATCTACATTTCCACTCTCAACACCCTCATGAATCACAAAAGCACTAAATCATACATAAATTTCAAAAATTTGACACAAACCCAGAAATCAGAAAGCACAAAACAGAATACCCATTGACCAAAAAACTTGAAGCAATTCATAAAAGTAAATTTCAGGCCAAACCCATATTCAAAAGTCGCAAATATACATGTAAATACAACCAATTCCTCAACAATTTACCAGCTCCCAAAAGCAGAGAGAGATTACCCAACATCGTCACGATAGAGACGGTTGATGAGAACATCACCGCGGAGGTTCAAGAAATAAACGGCGGAAGCAGCCACCGGCATCTCTGATCCAGTGGATCAAGACCAAATCAGCTGATGGGACTGGTCCAGCTATCAGATCTGCGAGATTTGGAAATGGACGGCTGAGATTGCCAGACTAGAGCATCTGCAACGGTCTGTTGGCTGGTGGTAACTGATATGTCATGAGACCGAGTCTCTCGTTGGCGAGCAATGTAGAGATTTGGAGACTGAAAACAAAGAGGGTGTAGGTGAAAGGAAGAAGTTTTGTGTTCTCGTAGATGAACAGGTAGCAGCGTTGCAGTCACAGAAGCGTGGCTGCCAGCAGCGGAAATTTGGAACAATACTTTTGGCAAATTCGGAAAAATAACCAAATTTTAGATCTCATAGAATTATAATCACTATTTTAATTTTATGATAATTATAACCAAAACTTGATGTAAAAGTATTAATATACCTTTAATACTAGGGTTTCTCATAACATCCACAACACAACCTTTAAACTACCTTAAAATATTGAGAATTATTGCAGATTGAGGCCACTGAATTAACTTTCTCTTTAATTAGCAAGACAACCTATGAGAATGTTCTTCAGGTATTAATTCTATAGCTAATTATTATTTTTGTAATTAGATACTTCAATTTAGTGTTTCACTGACTAAATTGCATACATTCCAATATATTTTTCCAGTGGATGAAGAAAGAATACGAAATTGCATATGCACAGTGAATAGTAAAACAAAAAAGTGATGAAGATTAATTTCTCATTTTAGGATAGTTTAAAGGTTTGTTTTGGTTGTTGTGAGAAACCCTAATATTAAGGATATATTAGTACTTTTACATCAAATTTTGGTTATAATTATCATAAAATTAATATAGTGACTATAATTCTATATGAGATCTAAAATTTGATTATTTTTCCAAATTTCCCATACCGTTTTCGGTTCATGAAAAATGGGAAATGCCAGGGAGAAAAACCTTCAATTTCTTTGTTTTGATTCATATACATACATACATACAAATTTGAGATTTTTTTGGTGAAAAAAAAATTGGAATTTGGGACTTTCAATTCCCAACTTTAAATTTCATGTAAATATATATCATTTTCAAATTTCTATGAGTGATACTTTCAATTCTAAACTTTAAATTTCATGTAAATATGTTTCATTTCCAAAATTCTATAAGTGAGAATTAAAAATAAAAAATTTTGTATTCAAATTTCATTATTCTTTTAAGTTAATTAAATAAAAAAATTTACAAATTCTAAAAAATAAAATTCAGTCATTTTTATTTCCGTCATTTTGAAATTCTTTAATAGTCTTAAATTTACTCATCTGAATAGTGTAATTGTGTAGACTAAATTTTGTAAACTAAAAGACATGGAGGTTGAGATAGGATTTTGTAGAAATGTTGGGAGACTAAATATGTAAACAATAAACTAAATAACATAGAAGTTGATGATTAGATTATTATTTAGTGTTGATAAACGTATTCATTTCTATTAGTGACATATTATTTCATTTCCAAATTTTATTTATAAATTTGTCTCCCTAGTGTTACATTTGAATTATTATTTAAGTGTTGATTAACATGCTTACTTTTTATTAGTAACACATCATTTAGTCTACTTAGCATTTCCCATGAAAAGTAGTTCTTTCAGGGTGATTAAGCCACCTAATTATATATTTAAATTTTTAGTCATGAAATTTTACGACTTTTGATTTTCATTTGAATTTCAAAATGAGTTATAGTTTAACTTTCATATTGCATCTCGAGGTTTTGAACATTATTAATTTACACTTTTTCGTATTTTTTGTTTTTTGTAAATTAAACAAAACTACTTCAACTATTGGTCGAATTACAATGTCATACCTCATATTTAAAACATTACAATGTCATACTGACACACCCCGACCCAGAAAGGTCGAAACATGCTGGCCATCATCGTGAGGTGACGTAACCATAAGGGTAAGTGATGCAAAAAGTGAATAAAATTAAAACTAATTAGAACTAAACAGTGAAAGAGCGCGCACTTCGTGGGTTGAATCCACTACAATTATTCAGAGTGTAATAGATAGTTAGACTACAAAAGAGTAGTCAAGCAACCAAAGTACACTTATTACACCCCAACCCAGAAAGGTCGAAGCATGCTGGACATCATCGTGAGGTGACGTAACCATAAGGGTAAGTGATGCAAAAAGTGAATAAAATTAAAACTAATTAGAACTAAACAGTGAAAGAATGCGCAATTCGTGGATTGAATCCACTACAATTATTCAGAGCGTAATAGACAGTTAGACTACAAAAGAGTAGTCAAGTAACCAAAGTACACTTATTACATAATAGTGATAAGTTCGTACGTCTAAAACAGAAGGAAATGTCAGAACTGCCGGGATTCCTCGAGTGCCACAAGGAGTACAGCTATCTAGGTCCTGGAGGGGCGAAAAACAAAGTTGAGTGGGTCAGCAAAACAATGCTTATAAGAAAACCTTTAACTTTGAAAATACTAACCCCTCGCTGTAAAACAAGTATAGTTTCCTTAAACATACTACTCAAGTATATAAACGATAATTTGATAATATTAAAGCAGTATAATAATCAGAAATATGCCAAGTAATGATGTATCGAATGCTACAGTAATAATCATGTGATAATCAAGTATAACTAAGTGCTCATCCATCTAAGCTGCCACACAAGTTCGAACAGATGGTTTCTGACACGAACAGGACTGGATGTAATCAATACACTCTAGTACTACGATCACATGAAGACTGATGCAAAAGCACATCACATACAAGTCGGATTACCTAAAGCAATCTGCCCTACAAGACTATCACCTAAACTTGGATCCAAGGTGAACGAATGGTGCGATGTGAACATACAAATGAAGGACTGGCCCTGGCCCTGGGTAAGTACTAACTCTGGGTGCAGCAAGATGAGCATGTACAAATATGTATGAATACCATGACAGTAATATCACAATCATATAGTAGCATTTATCACAATTTATATCACAATAATGATACTAGGCAATATAGGTGTAAAAGTGAAGTAAATACGCATTTATGGAAACTATAAATATATATAGGTATAAAACAACTGCCCACTCACTCTGGGTCGTAGCCCCCAAGCCTAGCTTGGCCTAAAAAATCCTCGGGATAAGTTTCCCCTATATGTGAAATAACTAAAATAACATTAATTAAAGCACATAACGAAAACCTAAATAAAACCCTCATAGTTTGCTCAAACCTAGGGTTTAAATATATGAAATCCATCTACTCGACGACATGAACACACATGTGTCAACCACATGCCGGCCGGAGGCCAGACGATACCTCACGGGCCAACCAAAGTGGCTGCACAACTGGCCACGCGCGGCCCATTCGCCCGCAAGTACAGGCGTACTCGCCTTCCTCGCGAAAATCTGTAGTTTTTGCAGATTTTTTGCCCAACTTCCAAAGCTCCTAACGAGCTCGATTCTTAACCAAATTCACTTCTACAAAAGCCAAATTAAAGCTAGGAATGTGATGTACCGATCCCAATTCACAGAAAGTTCGAATATAGTCTGTGTTAATCAGAAATTTGGCCTGAAAGTAGCCAAATGACCACGGTTTAAATTTTCCAGAAATTGAAATTTTCTTCCTAACTTCCAGAGTTGATTTCTAACTCGATACTTAACCAAACTCAGTGATTCAAAAGCCATTTTGAAGTTAGGAATGTAGAGAACAAGTTTGTACCTAGTAGGAGTCCAGTTGTGGTCAAGGTTAACCAGAAAAATGGCTTGAAAGTGACTAGATGGTCACGGTTCTGGAATGAAAAACGCAGGTTCTCCTTCTTCTTGAGTTTTCTGGGTAAAACTACACGTCCAAAACACAAACAAAGGATCAATAACAACCCATAGAAGTGAAATGAAGGTTCTAAAATTACCTTTTTCTTGGGAAATAATCCACGTGAGGATCAAATGCAGTCGAAAAAGGCGAAAATTACCTCTTTAATTTGATGTTGATTTCCTCTTTAAGTTGGAATTTAAATTCTTCTAGGAAAGGGAATGTAATTGCCACCAAAACCTATTTAAGTCTACATTAAGCAGGGGATTAAAATGGTGCCATATCAATACTAGAATAAAAGCTGTTGTTGTACGCGAACTCTATCAATGGTAAGCGCTTGTGCCAAGCGTCTTCAAACTGTAGAACTGACGATCTCAACATATCTTCCAGAGTCTGGATAGTTCTCTCTGACTGCCCATCAGTTTGAGGATGATAGGCAGTGTTGTAGAGTAATCATGATCCCAAAACTTCCTCAAAAGCTACCCAGAACTTCGAAGTAAAACAGGGATCCCGGTCAGAAATGATACTAACTGGAACTCCGTGGTACCTAACCACTTCAGAGATGAACTGTTTGGCCAACTGACTCAATGAGTAATTCTCACGAACAAGTATGAAGTGTGCTAATGTGGTAAGTCGATCAACAACCACCCAAATACCATCGTAACCATTTTGCGTACGTGGTAACTTGTACATGAAATCCATTGTAATATTTTCCCATTTCCACTGAGGTATCGGGAGTGGTTGCAGCAATCCAAATAGCTTTTTCCTTTCTGCCTTACCCTGCTGGCAAATTGCACAACGACTAACATACTCTGTAACTTCTCTTTTCATACCTCGCCAATAGTAGAAGTGCCAGATGGTATGATACATCTTAATGCTCCCTGGATGCATTGCATAAGCAGAAATATACGCTTCATCCAAAATGTCTCTCTTCAGTTCCTTAACATTCGGTACATACATCCGATCACCTTGCATAAGCATTCCGTCAGTATCTCTAATCCAGAGGTCATTCTTTTTCCCGTCTGACATTGCCTGTATCAATTCTTGAGATTTTGTATCGTTCATTTGGGCTTCGAGAACACGATCCAACAGAATTGGCCTGACCTAAAAACTGGCAATTAGGGCCCCTCGACAACCCTCTTTCAATGTTACTCCAGTGGATCTTAGGTCAGTCCAAAAAGGAATGAGACTAGCATAAAGAGCATTAAGTTGGCCATGAGACTTTCTACTAAGAGCATCAGCTACCGAATTGGCTCGACCTGGGTGATACTCAATGATGCAGTCATAATCACTGAGCAACTCTACCTATCTCTGCTGCCAGAGATTGAGGTTCGACTGATTGAAGATGTACTTAATGCTCTTATGATAAGTGAAGATCTTACACTTTTCCCCATAAAGATACTGCCTCTAGATTTTCAAAGCAAAGATGATCGTTGCCAACTCGAAATCGTGAGTAGGATAGTTCTTCTCATGGGATTTTAACTGTCGCGATGCATAAACAATCACTTTATCATGCTGCATTAACACACAACCAAGAC